AAAAATCGATGACATCCTTCGCGGTTTGGATAGGTTCTCCTCTGGGTTCTTTGACTTTAGTGGATGAAAAACGAACACACACATGCAAACAATACATCGTTTTGTCCCAATTCAATTCTAAAGCGTACCCCGCCCCTCTGTCACAATAGCCCCCAATATGATTTGCTCATTGCCTGGGTGTTGCGAAAGTGGTCGGGTGTCGTCTGCATACAAGATGTCCCGGGCGACGACGTATTCAAGCTTCGCTTGCAGGACCAATGTGGCGAAGGCGTCGTGCAGCGCATGTTGAATGGCGACAGTGAGGACGGGCTCAAAGGGCATCTTCCGTCAATTCTTGCCTTCCACAGTGGTCAACGATAGCAAGGTACCTCTGTGCGTAGATCCCCTGACCACTTGTGCCATCGGTGCAGGGAGCCGAAATCTTTCGAACGCAGCGCACATTCATGCTGGCCGTCAGCAGGATAACCTCCCGCTCAGCCTTTCCCCGTCGCAGCACTCTCCCGCTCAGTGATTTCCTTCCCAGAGGACTTCCACGCCTGGGTTTTTTCCGCCCACTCGACTTCTCCCGAAACGAAGAGCTACGCCATAGCTTTATCGGCTTGGGACGGGCCAGGCCGGAGGCCTGGCCCTGGCCGGAGGCCCAGGCCGGAGGCCTGATGGCTACACTGGGCGCCGGCGGTAAACCGTCAACCTTGGTTACCGCCGGGAGACTCGTAGAGCTTCCTAGCTCGACTTAAGTTGAGTTTGCAAGTACTTTGAAGCAAGTCCCATCTTTGCTCGCATGATTACTGTCTTCAACAAGCTTCGTTCGATCAGCCTTGATGAGTATTGACGGTTCGGAATGTTTGGCGGCGCCCTGCATGTAATGATGTACGTCCTGGGATATTCCATTTCTCGTACGAAATCACGCACACGTATTCTGCTGTCTTGCCCGTTGACAATTTCACAAATGATTCTAAGTTCAGCTTTGCGACAAGAAATTCGGTCGATGGGGTCTCAGCAGAGTCGACACACATCAACAGGTGCTTTACGTATGATCAATGCGGGTTTAACAAACACACAAATTACATATAAGCGAAATTTCAGACGACGGTAATTGTGAATTCCATTCGTTTGTCGAGAATTTGAATCTAAAGCAAAAGTTCGCATCAGTTTTTTTTGGTTTTGGTGACGGTCAAGTATTGAAGCTCAGTTCAAAATTGCCATTTGGCCAGTCTTTGTGGTTCAAATGCGCTGCGTCCACTATCGGTTGCACCAACATGAAAGCGTCTGCTGTGTCGCGTTTCGGCTGGGAGCCAAACTGGGACCCCCGTGTTCTCTTTACTCAGCCTCCGACGGTAAGCATTTGGTGGATTATTGCCGAAGGTGTTTTATATTCCACTGCGAGTAGGGAGATCGGCCTGTAGTTTCTTTGTAAACACGCGTGGCCTCTGTTAGATAATTGAATGACGTTGGCTCGATTCCAAGATGCGGTTATGGTTTAGGTTTCCCAACATACTTAATAAACGTGTGCTAACGATTCACATTTTTCGGATCCGTTGCATTGGGCTGCTGTTCATTGATTGTCTTGCATTGCGTTGTTCGCTTTTGCATTGCAATGCAATGCTGTGAATTGTCATAGTCCGTATGCATCTGCAGCTTTGTTTCATATCGTCGTTGGATTCGTGCGCGTTGTTTCGTCCTAATTGCATTGGTACTGCTGCTTTGTTTCGAATTAGTGTCGTTTGCTTGACGCTGTCTTGTTTTGTGTTACGTTGCGTCATCATAATGATCATGTTGAGTCTGTTTTATCATATGACAGCCATGGTATTGCTTTGAAGTCCTCAAGAGCATGCTATCACATATCAATCCAACACCCAACGCAGAGTAAGGCGTTGCAAAGCAAAGCGACGCAGCGAACACGACATTAATCCAAAGCAAGCCACCACAACACATATCCCAGCAATCCATGGCCAAATCGTGGTGATGCTCCGCAGTGCACGGCACACCCAGGCCATGCAATTGTAAGGCACGTCGGAGCAAAATAATACGGCGTCGGAGACCGTTGCAGCCTGTGGCCGGTCTTGGTTGCCCGGGACAGTCTGTGGAAGTTCGGTTTCACTTTGATGCTCGTGCCAGCGAGTCGTCCAGGTCACACGCCGGTCGTCGAAAGTAGGATTTTTTGGATTCCCAGATCCCAGATCTGCTTCAAGCGCCTTCCTACTTCAAGAATCGACACGCTTTTGCTGTGTTCTGTTATTCCCTGGGGGCGCCTGGACCCAGTCAACTTAATCCGCCTTTCTACTTCATGTTTTTACCTATTTCTTCCGTCCGAGGTGTACGTGTAGTTGGTGTTCCGGTTTTCTTCAGCTCGCTATCGGTTGAGAGCAGAAGCCCTCATTTGAATCGTGTTTTTTTGCATTTTGCCTGCCATTTGTCAGCAAGCAGTTTCTTGATTTAGTTTTGTCTGCTCACCTTCGCCATTCATCTTTCTCCTCGTCGCCGTCTTCCTATCCTTCTTTTTTTTGTGTTGTCTTCACAAATCTTTATGTTCTGCTCTTGCCTCTTTCTCCTTTTAGATTGCACCTGTTGCCGCTGGCCGCAGGCCAGGCTTACGCCCAAGTCGCTGTAGAAGGGAAGCGCACGGCTCTGCTCAGGAGCGACAAGGCGGCAGTGCCCTGCGGCCTGAGCGGGGACGGCTGGTGCGACTTGCCGCCAGTGGCCACGGGCTAGTCATATCTTCAGTCGCTCAGAAGCAGCAGCCTGCGGCTGGAACGCTTACGGCCACTGCCACCTGCCGCCGATTGCCGCTGGCCTGGCTTCTGTCCAAGTTGCCGCAGGAAATATTCACGCAGCTCTGGTCAGGAGCAATGGCATTGCAACCGCCTGCGGCTGTAACCATGAGGGCGAGTGCGACCTGCCGCTGCTGGCAGCGGGCCAGACCCGTGTGCGACTCGCCGCAGGAAGGGAACACACACAGTTCGGCTCACCAGCGATGGCGCCACAGTGGCCCGAGGCTCCAACCGAGGCGGACGATACGACCCGCCACCACTGGACGCGGCCAGACTTGCATTCCAAATTGCCGCTGGGTTGGAGCACCGTGTTCTGCTCAGGAGCGATGCCAGGGCAGTGGTCCGTTCAATCGTGACGACCAGTGCGACCTTCCTTTGCTGGCCGTGTGTCAGACTGATGCCCGAGTCGCGGCAGGAGGCGGGCGCGCAGCTCTGCTCAGGAGCGACGGCGTGGCGGTGGCCTGCGGCTGGCTTCCCGCCACTGGCCGGAGGCCCGACCTGTGCGCCGCGCTTGCTGCCGCCGCCGTTCCTGCAGGCCCATGTCGACGGCGGCTCGGCGCGGCTCGTGACCTTCGGAGAGCGCTGGCATGCCAGAGTGGTGCCCAGCGCCCCGCCCGCCAGCGTGCGCAGCGGGGTGCTGGCCGCGCGTGGCGCGGGCAGGCTGCCCGCCATCGGCGTCGGCCCCATCGCCGCCGTCCTGCCCGCGGGGCGGCTCTCGAGCGAGGCCGCGAGGAGGCGGTCCAGGGCCCCTCCGGGGGCCGCGCCCCCGCGGCAGGGGGCCGCTCGGGCGCCCAGGGCGGGCGCGGCGCCCCCCCCGAGCGGCAGCGGCAGGGGCCGCGGAGGGCTTGGCGGCCCCAAGGTCGCGCAGCGCCGCCCGGGGGGTGGGGGGTGGGCCCCCAGGGCCCGGGAGCGGCCGCGGCAGGAGGCGCTCGCTTGGTAGCAAATCATGGGGGCCTGTGCATCTTCGTGATTCTGTATTTCGAGTGCATTGGCGTCGATGAGCGTTTGGCCATCGAGGGGGTAGTGCCGATGTAGCGTCGATTCGCGTCGATGGTTGTCGATCTGGCGTCGGTTGAGCGTCGATTAGCGTCCACTGAGCGTCGATTCGCGTCGATGGGCGTCGATTCGCAAGAGCCAAGAAGATGCCATGGGCGGCTCCCGTGATTTGCCGCCAAGATTTCCTGTGTCGAGCCTTCGTCATCAGAGATTGCACACAGACAGCGTTCGACAACTTAGACGGGACAGCGTTTGAAACCTCGAATCGGCAGCAGATCAAGGTTCTAGAAAGCCAAAACGTAGTTTAACCTTCAGCGCGATTGGTAGACTTCTCGCGCGCGCGCGCGACGCGCCCCCGTGGGGCGGCCGCTGCGGCGCCCCGCGGGCGGCGCCCGCCCCGCGGGCGGCCGCTCTCTGCGCGCCTGCGGGCCGCGGAGGAGTGCCGCTGGCCCCCTGCGGGGTGGCCGCGAAGGAGAGCCGCCCGGCGCCGCGCGCGTGCGGGGCCGCCCGGGGCGCGGCCTTACGTTGAGGATCAACTAGCCCTAATACTAAGTCGGGCCTGTCCCTCTACAGGGGGAATATTCAGAAATAGTCAATACAAATAGACCAGGGACGAGGTTTTGAGTATTTGGGGGCATTTTTTTTTTGTGATTAAATAGCATTTTTAGGGTATTTTGAATTTTTCGTTCAGAATCCGCCTGTAGGAGGACATGCCCGGCCTAGCCCTAATAGCGCGATGAAGGCGTAGCCTCACTGAGGTCCCCGTCTTCGCAGTCGAGATCACAATTCTGGTCGGTTCGGTTCGATGCGCCTGCAGGAGCAAAAACCTCCTATCCCTCACGCTCCTGGTCCTCCGGAGTCAGGCCCCCTCCCGAAGGGTTAGGGGGTCTTTCTTGGACAGTCAGCCTGGGGCCTCCCGCCCTCCCCTGAGGCGGCGACTTCTTTGAGGGGGGCGGCGAGGGCGATGAGGGCGACGGGGGTGGGGGGGGCGGCGGCGGCAGAGGCGGTGACGAGGCGACGAGGAGGAGGAGGAGGACAGCGACTATCCTTGGGTCGGGCGTGTCCTTCTACAGGCGGATCTCCAAGGAAACGTAAGAATACCCCCAAAATGTTCCATCATGGTCCAACAATAACCGAAACATCGTCTCCAGATTTTTGTTGTTGTCTGTTTTTGAATACTCCCCCTGTAGAGGGACAGGCCCGACTTAAGACCACCCCACGCAAGCGGCGCAGGCAGCTCCGCGAGAGCTGCGGCCGCCACCGCCGGCGGGGCGTGTGCATGCGGTGGAGGAGCTGCGGACGCGCGCCGCCGGCGTGGGAGGGGTGTCGCTTCGTGACCTCGAGGCTCGAGGAGCGTGCAGGCTTCTAGGGCTTTTCTAGGCCTGAGGTCCCTCCTCGGTCCCTCTTGCGACGCCGTGGGTTCCCTTCTCAGCGTCCCTTTTTGAGTGGGCTGGTGGAAGTTCCAATTCTCCGATGCGAGCCCGCCCGATTCCGAAGACGCGCAGATGAGTGTCTCGCGGATTTCTATGGGGACACTGCACTGGACAGGACCCAGCTGGAGACAGCGTAAGGATGATTATGTCATGTGAAGGCTGGGAGAGTCAGGCGAGCGGGCAAGCATGTATTTGTGAATTTGTAGCTGTTGTTGTGGTTGCTGCTGCTGCTGTTGCTGTTGCCGATGCTGTTGCTGTTGCTGTTGTTGTTGTCGCTGTTGTTGTTGTTGTTCTTATTGTAGTAGTAGTAGCTGCTGCTGTTGTTGCTGTTGTTGTTGTTGTTATTGTTGTTGTTGTTGTTGTTGTTGTTGTTGTTGTTGTTGTTGTTGTTGTTGTTGTTGTTGTTGTTGTTGTTGTTGTTGTTGTTGTTGTTGTTGTTGTTGTTGTTGTTGTTTTGTTGTTGTTGTTGTTGTTTTGTTGTTGTTGTTGTTGTTGTTGTTGTTGTTGTTGTTGTTGTTGTTGTTGTTGTTAGTGTTGTTGTTGTTGTTGTCTTTGTTGTTGTTGTTGGTGTTGTTGTTGGTGTTGTTGTTGTTGGTGGTGTGTGTGGGTGTGTGTGTAGGTGTCCTGCCTCCCTCCGTTCCTCCTCACTCTTCTTCTTTCTGCCTCTGACGCCGCCGCTGCCCACGTTGCTGCGTTTCTCGTTCTTTATAGCGAGTCGGACGGTTCCAGTCTGTTAGGACTGCCACCACCACCGCCACCTCTTGGGTACGATGAGGAGGAAACTGAGGGGGAGGAGGAGGAAGAGGAGGAGGCAGAGGAGGAGGAGGCGGAGGAGACGGATGAGGAGGAGGAGAAGGAGGAGGAGGAGGGGGAACAACAACACATAAGACGAAGAAGACGGATAGTAATGATAAGCAGAGTACGAGTAAATAAGAATAATTTGAGTTTTTCTTATATAATCGGAAGAATCGTGATATTTCGAAGACGAATCAGAACATCAATAATGATATGGGTAATAATCATTAATAGGATAGTACTATCAATCAACATGCTAATACTACTTATGATAATAATGCTACTGGATCATAATAATAATACGACACTGATCGACACGATATATACTATAAATAAGAAGCGTACTGATCATATTAATTCTAATTCGAACAATAATACCAATACTACTAGTAGTGATACTACTAATAACACTGTTAATGATACTAGGAAACATACTCACCAGTTATTGCTACGATTAAGCATGTTAGTAATAAGAGGAAAAAGAGGAGCAGGAGGAGGATGAGGAGCAGGAGGAGAAGGAGGAGGAGGAGCAGGAGCAGGAGCAGGAGGAGGAGGAGGAGGAGGAGGAGGAGGAGGAGGAGGAGGGATCGTTTTCCTGCTCCTCCTCCTCGTTTTCGCTCTCGTCCTCCTCAATTTTTGGTCTTCGGGGGCCGTGGGGCGCGGTTCGAGCAGAAGCCCGGCGCCCGGGGCTGGCTCAACGGGCGGGGCCGCGGGGTCGCTCGGAGCGGGCTTGGGCCCGGTGCTAGAGGAGGAGGAGGAGGAGGAGGAGAAGGAGGAGGAGGAGGAGGAGGAGGAGGAGCAGGGAGGAGGAGAGAGGAGGAGAGGAGAATGAGGAGGAGGAGGAGGAGGGGAGGGGGAGGAGGGAGGAGGAGGGGGAGGGGGGAGGGGGGGGGGGAGGAGGGGAGGGAGGAGGAGGAGGAGGAGGGAGGAGGAGGAGGAGGAGGAGGAGGAGGAGGAGGAGGGGAGGAGGGGGAGGAGAGGGGGAGGGGGAGGACGAGAAGGAGGAGAAGAGGCCATCTCTGGCACTGCCAGCGTCGGTGAACGCAGATATTCGACGATATGGCTTCCTGAATATGTACGTTGCTTTACTCGATCCCCTGGATCGAGGATCGAGGACCGAGGATCGAGGGATCGAGGATCGAGGATCGGGGTCCCTGGACGGCCCCTGGACGCTCCCCGGGCGGTGCATCCGGAGACCTCCACATGGCATCTCTGTCGGCTCCACAGGGGAAGCGTGCTGGCCGCCTGGGCTCCCTGTAAGATGCTCCAGCATGGAACCAGATTTTTCCTATTTCTCGAGTCCGGCCTCTGGGGCCTTTTTGTGGACCCCCCAGGACCATCAGAGACGCATCCTGGGCGAAGGAGGGGCGCCAGGAAAGGGGTCGGGCCAGGTCAGGGCGGCCGCGCATTGAACGCATCCCATCGTCGGATGTCTAGGAAGGGAAATGGCCTCATGTAATCTTTCCCAGGGGGCCCTAACCTTGGCTGCAATTCCTGGAAGGTTTGGATTCAGCTTCGTCGTTGGTCTATCCCTTGGTCGGAAGCCGTGTTACCCCTGTTTGATCCCGCTGAGTCTGGTTTACGCGCTGTTAATCCCGATCGTATTCCAGATGCCGAGATCTCCCCTCTGCGTGACCGCCTGTTCAGAGGACTGGCCAGAAGAAGCCCCGAAGCCCTTCTGCGCCCTCTTCGGCCAGTACCCGCTCAGAACACGTAACCTGACTAGTCCTGGGGTCTACCATGGCCCGTTTTTCGAGCCGCGTCCGGCCTTGGCAATTGGGGGGGCTTCCGAGCGTCAGGAAGCGAGGAAAGGGAGGAGGAGGAGAAGGAGGAGGAGGAAAAGGAGGAATAGGAAAAGGAGGAAAAGGCGGATGAGGAGGAGGAGGAGGAGGAGGAGGAGGAAGAGGAGGAGGAGGAGGAGGAGGAGGAGGAGGAGAAGGTGGCGGCGGAGGCGGCGGAGGAGGAGGAATATGGAGAGGAGGATGATGAGGAGGAGGAGGAAGAAGAGGAGGCGGCGGAGGCGGCGGAGGCGGAGAAGGAGGTGGAGGCGGAGGCGGAGGCGGAGGCGAAGGCGGAGGCGGAGGCGCAGGCGCGGCGGAGGATGCGGAGGCGGGAGGAGGAGGAGGAGGAGGAGGAGGAGGAGGAGGAGGAGGAGGAGGAGGAGGAGGAGGAGGAGGAGGAGGAGGAGGAGGAGGAGGAGGAGGAGGAGGAGGAGGAGGAGGAGGAGAGGAGAAAAGAAGGAGGGGGCGTAGGAGGAGGAGGAGGAGGAGGAAGGAGGAGGAGGAGGAGGAGAGGGAGGAGGCGGAGGAGGAGGAGGAGGAGGAGGGAGGAGGAGGAGAGGAGGAGGAGGAGGAGGCAAGCTAGGTGCGCTCGCGTCATATCTGACGTCCTACACCTCCCTCCCATCCCTTACCATGGCGCTGATTTTCTCTATCCGCGGACGCGTGTCGTAGCGGACCTGTGGCTCCGCGCGCGCGTGCGTAGTGGGTGGTGGTGCGCGTGCGTGCGTGCGTGCGTGTGTGCGTGGTTGTGGTGGTGGTGGTGGTGGTGGTGGTGGTGCTGGTGGTGGTGGTGCTGGTGGTGGTTGGTGGTGGTGGTGGTGGTGGTGGTGGTGCGGCGCGGTGGTGGCGGGCGGATGGGCGCGCGAGAAAGAGGCCCGCGCTGGGGCGAGAACGCCATCCTGAACGACGGAGGCCAAACACCGATCCGAAAATGAGGCCCACTCTGCAGCGGGAGCACGATTCGGAACGATTCGGGAGCGGAAATGAGGCTGGCGCCTCAGCCAGAGCAGCATTTCGAAAAAACGCAGGCGAAAACCCAACTCCCGGGAATCTTGTGTGTAAAAAAACAGTACGCGGGGGGGTCGGCCACTCCCAGCACGCCATCAGGGGAAGAGGGAGAGTAGTATTCATATTGAGTAATTGTATAGGGGGAGGAGGAGGCGGAGGAGGAGGAGGTGGCGGGAGGAGGAGAGGAGGAGAGTGAGTAGGAGGAGTAGGAGTAGAGTAGGAGTAGTAGAGTAGGAGTAGGAGTAGGAGTAGGAGTAGGAGGAGGAGGAGGAAGGAGGAGGAGGAGGAGGAGAGGAGGAGGGAAGGAGGAGAGGAGGAGAGGAGGAGGGAGGAGGAGGAGAGGAGGAGAGGAGGGGAGGAGGAGGAGGAGGAGGAGGAGGAGGAGGAGGAGGAGGAGGAGGAGGAGGAGGAGGAGGATAATGAACCAAGTTTAGGCCTCCCTCTCAGGCCTCTGGAAGGCTCCTGGATGCCACCATGTCCACTCAGGCCTTCGAAAGCACAACGGGTAGCATAATTGGCAGAAGCCTCTATTCTCCATTCTCGGTTGGCGCTCGACGACGACGATGATACTGCTGCTGCTCGCTTTCCTCACCGGATGCGCGCCCCACAAGGAGGAAAAGGAGGAGGATGCCTCCTCCCCTTCCTCCTCCTCTTCCTCCTCCTGCTCCTTCTCGGCCCCCCCGGCGACTGCGACAATGATGCCGACGACGACGATGACTTCACCGCAGGGGCGCCCCCTGGGCATCGTGCCCCCCTGCGGCGACGACCTGCCGCCGGCCGTGCGATTGTTCGGGCCCCCGGCCCAGGATTCCGGATTTCCCGCCCACGCTGGGGGGACGCCAGCCATCCACCAACACCGACTCACGGCCTATCTTTGGCCCAGGATGCGTGTACCCAGATCTCCGACGACATGATTTCCCAACCATCCTGTGCTGTTGGGTCCTCGTGTTGAAGAGAGCGCCCCGCGTCCTCCTTCCCGCTGCGCTCCACCTCCTCCCTCCTCCCATCCATGCCTCTGCCTGTTTGGTGCTGGCCTCCATCCTCCTCCCTCTTTCTCCCGCTGCCCTCCATCCTCCTCCCTTCCGTTTCGGCACACCCCTCGCCTTTTTGCGTGTTTCCGAAGGGGGTTCCACCTAAGGCCCCGGTGGCGACGTTCGCATGGCGGCTTCGCGCCCATGTTGGCACACCCCTCACACGTTCCGTGGCCCCATAAGGAGCTCCATGGCCCTAGTGGCGACGTTCGATTGGAGGCGTCGCGCCCACGCCGGCACACCCCGACGTTTCGTGCCCCTACGGCGCTCCACCGAAGGGATTAGCGGTAGGTTTCGCATGGCGCCGCCGTCAAATCTCGGCACACACACACACACACACCTCTCACGTTTCGTGGCCCAAACAGGGAAGTGGCAGCGCCCGTCTGGCGGAGCCGCCCCATGTCGGCACGCCCGCACGCGTTTAGTGGCCCCATCGGGGGCTCCACGCCCCAGTGGCAGCGGCCGTGTGGTGGCAACGCCCCATTGCGGCACACCTCTCGCACCCTTCTTGGCCCCTGGAGGAGCTTCATCAAGGGCGCCGGCGCCAGCGCCCGCACTGCGGCACCGCCCCATCTTGGCACACCTCTCCCACACTTTCGCCCCTGCAGGGAGCTCCCCTTCCGTCGTCTCACCTGCATTGCGGTACCCGTGCCTGCATATGGTTGGGTCTTCGGCCAGGAAAATCGTCAAACTGATTTTTTTCATGGATTTCGGTGTCCAGGGTCCGTTATCGCGTCCACGGCCAGGGCGCACAATTTTCCCAGGGGAAGGGGTCGGAACCTCTGGGAGGGGGAACGGTGTGGATCGACAAAAAACATCGACTTGTGCATACACTGTTGGGAGCCCGCGCGGATTTCTTGAATCGGCGCTCCCCCTGGCGGCGCCTCCGTCGCCGCCCCTGGTGCGCTCCGCACGCCAGGGAGGGGAGTCCAGTGCCGATCCACGAAATCCGCGCGGACCTCCGGACATCTTTGTTTATGCTGTTTTTTGAATAATCTTCTTCTTCTTCTTCTTCTTCTTTTTTCTCTTTGTGTATGCGCCTTCCCGACCAGGCCAGGATCCCGGGTCTCAGCATGGGCCCTGGCCAGGGTCGGTGCTGGTGTGTGTGGTAGGCGCCCTCCGACCCCGCCCCGGCTCGGCGGGAAGCTCGCCTCGCGTTGCGGGCTCGTCGCCGTCGCCGTCGCCGTCGTCGACATCGCATTCTCCGCCGTGGGCGTCGTCGTCGTCGCCATTGTCGTCGCCGTCGTCGTCGTCGTCGTCGTCGTCGTCGTCGTCGTCGTCGTCGTCGTCGTTGTCGTCATCGCTGTCGCCTCATAGCCGTCGTCGCCGCCGTCGTCGCCGTCGGCGTCGTCGTCGTCGTCGTCGTCGTGCTCGTCGTCATCGTCGTCGTCTTCGTCGTCGTCGTCGTCGTCGGGAGGGGGTAATTACCCACATGTCACCCCAAAATGACTCTGACGGGACAGCGATAGCAGTGGGAGGAGGCTTTATCTCCTCTTCTTTCTCCTCCTCCCGCTCGCGCAGCAGCGTTTTGCGAGCTGGTCGTCGTCCTGGGCGTAGGGGAAGGATGAGCAGGATGAGGAGGACGAGGAAGAACCAATGCTGAGGCGTTTGTATGCTTTTGGGCCTTCTCAGGCCTCCCGGGGCGTTCTCGTCTCCATGGCCGGGTCCGCCTCGAAATGCTGGTCAGACCGTGCTCCCGCGGGATTCCTGGGTCCAGCATTGAGGAAAACAATGTTGATGATAATGATGACGATGATGATGCTGCTGCTGATGATGACACTGATGCATATGATGACGATGACGATGATGATGCTGCTGCTGCTGTTGTTGTTGTTGTTGTTGTTGTTGTTGTTGTTGTTGTTGTTGTTGTTATTGTTGTTGTTGTTGTTGTTGTTGTTGTAGTAGTTGTTGTTGTTGTTGCTGTTGTTGTTGTTGTTAGTGTTGCTGTTTTGTTTTTTTGTTGGTTCGGTTGTTCTTGCTGCTGTTGCTCTTGTGATTGTTGTGGTTGTTGCTGCTGTTTTTGTTGTGGTTTAATTGCATTTGCTGTTGTTGCTGCTGATTTTCTTGTTGTTGTTGCTGCCCTTGTGAGTGTTGCTGTTGTTGTTGTTGCTGCTGTTGTTGTGGTTGCATTTTTTTTTTTTGTTTTTTTTTTGTTTTCTTTTTTTATGTTGTTCTTGTTGTTGTTTTTGTTTTTGTTTTTGTGCTGCTGTTGTTGTTGTTGTTGTTGTTGTGGTTGTTATTCTTATTATGGTTGTTTCTGTTTTTTTTTTTTTTTTTTTTTTTTTTTTTTTCATTTTCATTATTGTTGATGTTGATGTTATTGGTGTTGTTGTTGTCGTTGTTGTTGTTATTGTTGTTGTTGATGATGCTGATGCTGATCGGTTCTCACTTCTACATCATTTTTTGTTGTTGATCCCTCCCTGCCTAGTGCCCACTGTGTTTTTCAATGAAAATGCTCCGTCGGGGGCTCATACCATGTTTTTCATAAGGTTCAGTCTTGCTCCTCACAACGTATTTAAAATCGCGCTTTCGCGCGGGACGTCCTCACACCTTATACAGAAACTGCGCTCTCGCGTGGTACACTTTCGCAGTTTACTGCGGCGCCGCGCCCCTAACACTCAGGAATCACGCTCTCGCCCTAGATTATCTCACGATTTACTTGGGAGTCGCGCTGTCGCTCGAAACTTCCACGCAATTCGTGTTGGATTGACGCTTCCGCGACCCGCCCGCTCGACCCAGCCGTCTGGGCCCGCTCGACCGACCTGCCGGCCCGCCCGCCCGACCCGCCCGTGTGGTTTTGCCGCTTGTGTGCTTGCTCAACCCCCTGCTGCCAATCTCTCTCGTGCTCCATCCTTCTCCCTCCCCCATGGCTCTTCCCTCGTCCCTCCCGTCCCCTGTCTTAGGGGCTGCGCCAGCTGCACGTGGCAGGTAAGGAATATATACCCCCAAGGTGGGTATGATCGACGACGAAGAGGGCGGGTATCGAGGGCTGGGATATACATGTTGAGTGACACGCGAGCAAATGACAGCGAGCAGTCTTAACATGACTGTTGCTGCTGCTGAACGCTCATTCTTGAAGAATAAGGATTTTTGATCCCCCCACCGGTGCACATGGTATTTTTCAGTTGAAGTGCCCCCTCGGGGCTCGCACCCTTCCTTTTATCAGGGGAAGTCTTCCTGCTCAAGCAGTGCCCTGGCCTCCCGGCTACAATAACAACGGTTCCCGCCTGACATTTCCTTACAATATCTTCCGAAATCTCACGCGAGACTTCCTCACAATGTACGCAGGATTCGCGCTGTCGCGTGGGATTTCTTCGCAATCTACTTAGAAGCCGCGCCCTCAACATTCAGGAATCACGCTTTAGCTTTCTGGTTTTTCGAGTGATTTATTTGGGAGTCGCGCTATCGATCGAGATTTTCTCGCGATTTACGCAGGACTCACGCTTACCCGCCTGCTCGACCTGGCCGCCTGCGCCCGCCTTCGCGACGCGCCCGCTAGGGTCTGGCCGCCCGATCTGCCTGCCTGGTTCTACCACGTGTTTTCTGCTCCTAGCCCCGTCCTGTCAATTTCTTTCGTGCTCCATCCACGTCCCTCCCCTTCCATCCGTCCTCTCTTCCCCTGTTTTCGGGGCTGCACTAAATGCACGTGGAAGGCAAGGAAGGTATTCCCCCAAGGAGGTACGATCGCAGACGAAGAGGGCGGGTACCGAGGGTGTGGGATCTACGTGTTGGATGGCACGCGAGCAGATAGGAGCGAACAGTCTGAAAACGAGTGCTGCTGCTGGTGTTGTTGATGTTGTTGGTGGTGTTGCTGCTGTTGCTGCTGTTTTTGCTGTTGTTGTTGTTGCTGCTGTTGACGAAACCACTGGCTGGCGCCCGCCCCCCCCTCCCGGCGCAACGCTACGCAATGCAACGTACCTTACCCCGCGCCCTGAGGCCGCATGGGAGTGCTATGGGGTCCCCTGGGACCCTATAGGATCCGATCGGATTCGTTTAGGAGTCCTATAGGATCTTAGGTCCTACAACTCCTACTACTACTGCTGCTACTACTACTGCTATTATTATTATTACTACTACTACTACGACGACGTCGACGACGACTACTGCTACCCTACTCCTACGACTCGTAGTCTTATCAGTAGTAGTAGTAGTAGTAGTAGTAGTAGTAGTAGTAGTAGTACTACTACGACGACTACTAGTACTACTACTCGTACTACTCCTTTTACTCCCACTCCTATTACTGGTGCTACCACAACCACTCTTTCTACTCCCAGCACTGTTGAAATTATTACCACTACGATTCATAATCGTACTAGAAAGTTGTTTACTAATGCCATTCTTATCATTACTACTACAACTACACGTACTACTACTACTACTACTACTACGACTACTACTACTACTACTACTACAACTACTACTACTACTACTACTGCTACCACTTCTACTACTACTACTACTACTATTACTATAATTTCTATTACTACTACTACTACTACTACTACTACTATTACTACAGACGTTACTACTCTTATTAGTTTAAACATTCCTTTTATCATTACTACTACTACTACTACTACTACAACTACTACTACTACTACTACTACTACTACTACTACTACTACTACTACTACTACTACTACTACTACTACTATACTACTACTGCTACTACTACTACTACTACTACTACTACTACTGCTACTACTACTACTGCTACTACTACTACTACTACTACTACTACTACTACTACTACTACTACTAC